ATCGAGTGGCCTCGTAAAATATGTTGAAAGGTTTCCATTGTTCTAAAGGATGGGAAAAACTTTCTGCACAGAAAGAAAACAAAGGGAAATTTTAATTTCTCCTCTTCAAAACAGAAAGACATCTCTCTAGGCATAGATTCCGTACAAGGATCTTGAAATATTTTATCAGTTTGTAGCAAATAAACGACGCAATCAATACGAAATTTTTTATTATACTGAAAATAGAGCTTGTAGAGCTATTAAGCTAAACAATATTATGATAATTATTTCCTATACTTTCCTATACTTTTCTAGCCATCATTAAATGCAGAGTATATTGTGTGCAAATAACGAGTGAATTTGCAATTTAGAAAGAAAACTCTAGCAAACTGTTATTACAAGGGTTCTCAATACAAGGGGAGTTTGATAGTTCCCGGTGGGGAATGAAGTCAGATTTATATTTACTTACCAAATATTTAGTTTTAATTTATGAATGCAAAATCTGCTTTTACTCAAGTTATAATGTATTTCTCCCGCCTTCTTAACATGCCTTCGTAGTGTAGTGGCCAGCAAGCTTAGCGCGTATTCCATAGGTCTGTGGTTCGATTCTCGGCGAAGACGTTGCTCATTTTTTATCTTTCCTGCTTTCAAAAAATACCTAATGTCTCTATAAAGCTTTGATATTTATGAGCATTCTCTATACCTTTTCTTGCTTAATTTATAACGCACGTTAAAAATAATAAAATAATAATCCATAGGTCTGTGGTTCGATTCTCCGCGAAGACGTTGCTCATTTTTTATCTTTCCTGCTTTCAAAAAATACCTAATGTCTCTATAAAGCTTTGATATTTATGAGCATTCTCTATACCTTTTCTTGCTTAATTTATAACGCACGTTAAAAATAATCTAAACTTGAATAAACGTATATGAATTTTTCGGGTTTTGGAAACATGGGGATGATTGTTTAGCAATGATGAAAAGGGTGCGTGGGGCAAAAAACGTTGAGAACCACTGCATTAGTAGTAGTGATTAACCTGAGATACCCGCCTGTAGCCTGATCTGCGTGAGTGATTTTTATGTATGTTAGCAAGTTAAAGACTGGAGGTTAGGTTCTTTGTACGTATTTAAGCATTTGAATAACCGAGGTTCTAGAAGTAGCGGCGGCTAGTAATTGCTAAATTTTATTTGTACTACAAGGCGTAGCTTTTAAAATAAATATTTTATTAAGTTTTACTTCTTGCCTATGTTATTGAAATGTGTGGTGCCTTATAGTAAGTGTGAAGCGATAATTTATAGCAAGCGAAAGTTTAACAGGCATAGTTAAACAAGTAACAAGGTTTAATCATACCAGATAAACCCATTAAATTTTTAAATATCTTCTTAATTGTTTTGTGCAGTTACTGCGGAAAACTTTATGCTAATTCATATTTTCTGCATGCATGCATTGCTAATAGAACTAGCTTTTCGCAGCTTTCAGAAACAATGAAGCTTATGAATATTTCCAATACAGATCAAGATTTCGAACTTTCTGGAAATGCCCACACCTCGTATCATTATATAATATGAAATTTATTGAGGTAAAAATTCAGTTCAGTTAGTTCAAAGAGTGAGTAGTATGGGAATTGAGTTCACAACATTCATGGAATTTTTTTACAAGTCCTGTGCTGATTTACTTCCAGAATGTGTTTTAGAAACATTTCTTGTTACTGCATATTTTTAAAGATCCTGTTACTGCTGATACAATATCCTGTTACTGCATATTTTTAAAGAGATATCTTTAATTTATTCCCAGTTTCAAAATATTTACACAATACGGATATCACAAGTGATAGCAAAGCTCTCTTTTAGAGTACAGGATGTATAGTACGCATTTTCATTAGAATCAAGTGTGCATCCTTTACTAGTTCAATTCCTCATTTAATATACCGTTTCTTATCTAACAACATAAAGTACTCATTTGTTTACTATTGCTTAATATTTTAGTGGACTGTTTCTACTAAAATAAATAAACTGAAATCAATGTATAAAATAGCACATCGCTGATCTGAAACTATAAAAAACAATAAGTTTCATATATCGAAATTTGTACAAGTTATTAAATTACATAAGTTTACATTTACGTTCTCATTATTTTTTAACTAAGGGAATTCTTACAACAGGAACTAAATGAGTTCCTCATTTTCATTTTTGTATATTAAGGATTCTACCGTGATACGTTATCTAATTAACTTCGCTATCAAACAATGCAAGAGACAAATTCTTTTAAGCAGTGTTTAAATATATAACATAAGCAATATCATCCCTCGAAATAGCACTATAAAATACATAAAAGATGAAAAGAAAGCATGCAACGAAGCTCTAAATGAAAAATCCAAGTATTTAAAACAGTTTTCATTTAATTTTGTATTCTTCGGAGAAATCATATTCTTAAATATGATAGATAATTAATTTATTTTCAGGAAACAAAAATCAAAAGCGTACCTTTAAAATTAAAAACAGATATTTGTATAGAAATAAATTTTGCAGAAAGGATTGAGATTCTTAGAAGAAATCGCAAATCAGTTCCTTCTACCTTAAACACAAGCAGCAAGTGTTAGTAATGCATGTTTATAAAAAGATTGCTTGATGTCAATGTTTAAAATTCGTATATAATGCATAGCCAATTTATATTATTGCAATAATAGTCACTTGACTTCAATGACAATCAGTTTTTATAAAGTAATAGTTCTAAAAACAAATTAATTTTACAGGTATGGAGAATCATTTTTCTTTTCCAGTAATAAAACAATTTTGCACAGCACGTTGATTTTTCAAACTTATGTTTTGCCACTAGCGAAAAAGGATCTTTTAATATTATTAAAAAATATTTATTTATGTTGATGAATAAGAACTTATTAATTACGAATAATAATTTAATAAACGCTGTTGTGCGGTCTCAAAGATGATGACAGAAATATTTTAATATATCGCAATGTCAATAATGAGGGAAGGGTAAAATTTCACGAGGGTAATGCTAATTATTATTCACAACATATTTATCATATTTTTAACATTAAACTAACGTAATTCAGTGCTGTTACGAACTAGGAAACAGAAGTCTAAACAAATTGAGGGAAAGACAGGAAAGTCAGAACACTGTATAACTATATTTATAACTAAAATCATTTTTTTATGAAAAATACGAAACAAATGTAAAAAATAAATGCTTGAATTCATTCTGATCTATTCTGAACTTTATGATAAACTATCTGAATGCAGAAAATCTTTTACAATTTAGTTGATAGCAATAAAAGAGTTTGTAGAAAATGAAATAACGCATAGTTTGGGAACTCGTGCTGCAATTTGCCTCAATATCTTCTAAAAGCATTTTTAATTAATAGTTTCTGTTCTGGAATGAAGTGCTAATATGCAGTTTTTTGTCTTGGAATCTATGCTTCTCAGTTGCCTTTTGTTGTCTGCAAATTGGTTAACTGTGAAATTTCTCGATGCCACGAAATTCTTTTAGATGAATTTCTTCTTCTAAAAGCAGTTTTAATTAATAGTTTCTGTTTTAGAATAAGTGCTGATATGCAGACTTTTTGTCTTGGAATCTATGTTTCTCAGTTTCCTTTTGTTGTCTGCAGATTGGTTAACTGTGAAATTTCTCGATGCCACGTAGTCTAATATATCCAGATTATTTCTGTTCTCTTCCTAGGAGTTAAAACTACTCAAAATGCGACATCGTATTAGTCAAAGTTACGGAGTTCGGGGGGGGGAGCAGGTATAAATAACATATGATATTAATAATTGTGAAGTGAATTTAAGATATTCTAAAACTTCAAAATTCATTTATGTCTTCGACTAGTTTACGCAAATAAAAGCACTAGACAGCTTTCAGCCGCTATATCCATCCAGAGAAATTTTGTCATTAGTTCAGCTATTTTTGCGAAACAACGGTTGAAGCAACAGAGAATTAAAAAAACAAGAAATTATTATTATTTTATTCTTATGTGAATTGTTTGGAAAATATAAATAATAGTCTAATATTTGTAAATGAAAATGATACAGCTGCATGAAGCCTCCTGTTTGTGCAATAGATGATTTATCAGCAATCTTATTGCTCATAAAATATCTCTCCCATAATAAGCATTCGTAAGCAGCAATAGTTTCGTATTTTCAGAATATTATCAGGAAAGACTGGCTCACTTTATTGTACGGATAAGCTATATGTATTACAATTTTAAAGATTTTACTTAAATGAAAATAACTCCTAGATTTATTTTGCACTTTTATTTTTTCTTCTCTGATGAAAAAAAGTAGTGATTATTTTAAGCTACGTAGTTGATATAGAAAGGTTAGAAAGGATTAAAATGAAACCAATTATATTATTTTTTCTATAAAGATAAACACTTAAATGTAAAATTAACATTCATTTCAATTTTGTGCAATGAAATGAATGATTTATCGAACTGTTCATTCATTTCAATTTTGTGCAATGAATGAACAGTTCGATAAATCATCCTGTTAGAAAACCACATTTATAAATAGCATAAATGAAACAACAATATAGCAAAATTCAAAAGTAACACATTACCTGTATAGGTAAATTACCAGAAACATGAATGACATGATACTGTTTTTTTTTTTTTTGCTATCAAAAATCGTTAGACTAGGATTGCCTAAAAATGTGTTGTATTTTATTATTTTCGTATTTGCTAAGACTGAGAACTCAAGAAACAATTCTTTATTATGATATTCAGATCTCTGTGAACTTTGCCACTTTTTGGATTTGGATTGTATCTCGAGAAGTTCAAAACACTACGTGTTGAGTTTTATGAAAGAAAAAAATTCCAAACACAGGCAAAGTCAAACAGATCTAGTATGATATAATTTTTTTAATCGCTTCATTAGCCATACTTACACATGAACTGTTATATACAGTTTTAATAAACATAATGTTTCGTAAAATATATTCTTATCAGGATCCTGGCATATAATTTGTAAATCATTTGTATTTTCAAAACTGTTAAAAAGAAACTTACTCTTTTAATTGATTGAAGAAAACGCTCATTTCTTTGTTGATACCACCTCCTTCTCCTTTGATAACAATACATATCGAATGAATTACACTGTTTTTAAGAATTTCATAAAGTTTGTTATCCTGTGCTCTCGGCAAGAGATATCAATGAAAAAGTTCGTGTACAAGCTGCTAAAGAGGTTCCCAAAAGAGGATTGTGGGGTTGAAAGATATAAATAACAGTTTCTTTTTTCCTCACACTCTCTTCTTCGTATTCCTCCTTACCGTGGGGGTTGTAAACTTTTCAGATGCAGAAAACTGATAGTGTCTTTCGCCTCCAAGACATCGAGATGTTATAAAACTTGATAGATTCTCACTCCGCATTTCCCTTTCATATAGCAAAAGCGCTTCTAAAAACTAAGGTACTGATATATTTACTTCTTTTAAGATAATCTCAGCTAATGCTTGATTGATCGTATGAAAACTATTATAAAGGGTGATTTTAAATTGTTTTTACAAATTAAGAGGGGTGATAGTACTCATCCAGATGAGCAATAATTACCATAGAACATAGGGTCGCATTCCACTCTAACAGGCAGAAAAGAGGAATATTAAAATTCCAACCTGAACCAAGAGCGTTGTGAGAGCGAATGAATGAGACCAAAAGTTGCAGTACAGTGAAAAACTCACAAAGAGAGCACAAAATGGATAAAACCGAAAACCTGGCGTTCGAGTGTTAATTCGAGCTCAGACTTTGATGGTAAGCACTCAAATGCACATCTTTGGTTTGCAGGATCTTAACCTCGCAAACGATTGCAACAAGTTAATTATCTTATTCAAGGGCTGAATATTATTAATTAACTCCAACTCAAGGTAGGGTTTGATACTACTAAGGTAGCAATTTTTCCCCCCTTCGCCATCTTCTATCTTGTCGTCCTGAACTTAACTGTGCTGCGCTCATTCTACTTGAAACTCCCTTTTACGAGAGACGAAGTTCTGACACCCGGAACACAGCATGAACTTTTCATTCTAATCTCGGCATACAGCGGAAGTTGAAGTTAGTTGATAATATTCAGCCCTTGAATTCGATAATTAACTTGTTGCAATCGTTTGCGAGGTTGAGACCTAGCGAACAAAAGATGTGCATTGGAGTGCTTGTCATCTAAGTTTGAACTCGAATTAACACTCGAACGCCAAGTTTTCGGTTTTATCCATTTTGTTCACTCTGTGAGTTTTTCACTAAACTGATTGCGCAACTTTTGGTCTCATTCATTCGCTCTCCCAACCACTGTTGTAAGTTTAGGTTGGAATTTTAATATTCTTCTTTTCTGCCTCTCAGAGTGGAATGTGACCCTATGTTCCCATGGTAATTATTGCTCATCTGAATGAGCACTATCACCCCTCTTAATCTGTAAAAAACAATTTAGAATCACCCTGTATTGTATTACCCTTTACCTCTAAACAGTTATGATTCCTTCCAGGATTTTCTTAGCGAAACTGGTTCATATTTACACTACATATCACCATCTGTTAAAGCCATGAAGCCGCAGAATCATTGCTAGGTGAGGGTTTACATTTAAGACATTAAAAACTAAGACAGAAAATGAGTGCACGTGAAAAGAGAACAAAATGCATATTCGTGGCTTTGCCATGGAGCCAACTATTTGGCGAACCCACGAAACCTCTTATGTACTATATATTCCGCTCCGGAATGAAAGAAAGATTTAGTTTGATTTGGTTTATTTGATTATGTCAAAGCACGCGAAGGCTATCTGCCTGATAGGAAGTATGTCTGAACGTTCTAAGGGAAATAAATTACTTGTATACACGTTATATATGGCGTGAAAGAAATTTTTAGACGCTTGGATTAATTAGAATCAATTATTCCCATCACGTTAAAGCACATGACGGTTGAACACTTCTTGTTTGCTGCTTGCGCCTATGCTCCGTCAATCATCGTAAATCATAGTCTCTTTAGTGTCAACAAATTCTATCTCATTTCATATTTATAATGTATATATACATTATATATAGAGAGAGAGCCTTAAAAGAAATTGCTAAAATTATATGGCATAATTTTCAGATGAAACGAGATCGTCAATTTTAGAAGTTCTATAAATTCGTTGATTACAAAATGTCAAATTTTGGCATTTTTACTATTTGGAGTTGGAAAGCTATACCTGCGCATAAATATTTGTTTCACATAAGGTTTGAATCCGTTTAAATTTACGTTTCGAAAACTTAAGATATTTAGTTGCCTTAGACAATATTTATGCAAAATCACCCAAAATTTTAAGTAAGTCCGCTAACTTTAATTGGCTGATAATTTTTTAACTAATTCATTTAAGAAAAAACTTTTCTTGATGTCTTTTTCTTTATATGACCCCAACAAAAATTTGAGCTTTTTATACATTAATATATACAGTTTCTCTCTGAAAATTAACAGAAAGTTCTTCAGCCCTACTAAAACTGACAAGCAAATTATTATTCCATCTGTGAAAGTGCAAGAGAGTTCTAGGAAGGTTTAAATAAACATTTTTATTCAAAGCTTTAAATTGAACAAATGCGCAACTTGTGCTTATAAATTATATCTCCACTATTTGCGTGATGTTAGTTAACAGAAAGTTAAACTTATGATTTAAATTAAACTCGATGCAGGAGACTGCAAATCGAATAGCCTATCGTTGGTTCAAATTACAAATTACATGATTTACTGCGGCTAGCAAAATGGCTAATGCCGGATAACTATTGTAGCATACTTTTGGCTTTGTTGATTCTGGCAAATCACATTAGGGCTATTTGCCTTAGGGAAGGGCTTTCTAAGAGAAAATGGCAAGTATACACGTAACACATGAGGAAAACCACGAAAACGCAAATACTATTGTTTCAGTGTTGGGTAAGCTAATAGTACTACGGAGAGCATTGCTGCCGAAAGCTCTGCCTAAAACTTTCAAAAATTCCGACTTAAACATGCTTAACTCATTTACTTCATCATGTGAGCTAACGAAAAACAGAAACGACAGTTCAGTTCCAAAGCATAAAAAAAATGAGTTAGTTGACACAAAATATACTTTATATACAAAGCAGTACAATGTCACTGAAGTTATGGTATCTTGAATGGACTGGATTTATTGAATTAAGGCAAAGCACATAAGAGCTATCATCCTTACAGGTAAGAATGCCTCCGTGAAAAATATTTTAAGGAAAACTGCCTCGTATTCATGTTAAAAATGGCAAAAACAGGAAAACGTCCATACAGCCGGTCTGTTCGCAAGGCTGTATGGATTGACCCGGCTCGGCTACCAAGATCTGAACCCGGATTCGAACTACCACTGTTCAGCAGTATTATCCGCTCAAGAGCTGGTAGGCTAAGTTCGTAGTTTGAAAAACCTCCCTTATTTAGTTGTTTCTAAAACTGGTATTATGGGTCTCTGCTTAACTGCTCAAAAGGTATTTTTAATATACTTCTATACTCCCACACTTTTATTTTACATCGAAAAACATTTAGGACGTTTTTGCAACATTTCTAAAAATAAATAAACGTTAACAAATTAATTAAAATTTGTCATTTAAAACAGAGCTCGATACACACTTTAAAATTCCCTATATTTGTTTACCATCGCAACACTTTGGCGCTAGATTCACTTAACAGCGTTACATTTCATTAATTTTATAGCTTCAGCTTATAAACATATCGTTGGAACTATTACACAAAAGTGTAATTTTGCCGGCTCAGTGAGAATGAAGCCTAAAAGGCGCATGACGATAAGAGATTCCAGAGGCATGGTAATCTCTCTAAGGAGAAACGGAGCAAAGAGTTCACTTTATAACTCAACGCACAAAATTTATATCATCTAAAGAATTGTCTAATCGTTGCCACATGTTCTATTCAAATACTACTCGTATAATAACTCTAAAACGATGTATAAAAAAAATTTTTAATTAAAAAAAAAAGAAAGAAACAGTTTTTTACAGACGATTTAGTATTTCTCATTCAATTAATTCAGTTCTCACTTCTCGACAAGGCAAAAATACATAAAAGCTCAAAATATCTGTATTAAAAATTACGAAGTAAATCTTAAACACTTATTTCCTCGAATAAATTCCAGAATGGATGAAGGGTAATTTAATTAACAATAATAAAAGAAGACGTTATCTTTGCTGTTGCGAAGCTTAGTTTCCCTAGTTTGGCAACAAATCCACTATTCTGCTAAGCTTTAAATTGTAAACAAACATGGCAGCAACGGTAAAAATAATCAGTCTTAGCCGTACTTAACAACTTTTAAATTGTTGATAATTGTATAATTATTGCATGCAAATTTACTAAAGACATAAAAACCTTAAGCGGAAGATAAGAACAACCTAATTCAATCATTTTTAATTCAAAAAATGCACAATTTACACACATATAAGAAAAAAGAACCTGATTGCAACCAAAATAGGATGTGCGCATCTGCCTGTTATAGCAGTCATATATACAGAATTTTAACGTTCTGAGGCTACTCGTTTTTGAGTTATGCGAAATACATACATATACATATGTACGTACGTACACAAACGCCACGAAAATTTCTCTTCAAAATTCATTTTTATTCAGTTTTATAATTTTTTTGGGAGGAAAAAGAGTCCTTTATTTTGTTTTTACGTATAGATGTCACTCAAAAGCTTCGTTAAATTGCATTCGATAGCGGTCAAAATAGATATTTTCGTATTTTCGTTGAAATATGATACCCGAAAATTTTCGCGATTACAATACATCTCTTTACTTCGTACAAGGAAGTAAAAATGTACTAAAATACTACTAAAAACCTTTATTAACCGTACTAACCTATTTTATTCAATCTATTTTTTTTAAACATTATTATGTATACTAACAAACTTAAATAGCAAATATTTTAATTAACTTAGCCATTAACTGCCTATTTTTAAATCTTTACAATACTTTATATTTTCCTTCGCTTAATGCATTAAATTAATCATTTAGGATGGGTGACATTTAACAACAGATAAAATACAAATTTCTCTTCAAGAAAGCAGAAATCATATAGCTCAAACATCGTAAGTAAGAAATTGATGACCTTCCTAAATGCCATCGATCTTTAAAGTGACAGAGCGCCATTCTGTCCCGTCCGCTTTCATGATTCCGATGTCTGAGTCTCCGAATTGAGGTCACTTTTTTTAAATCTGCACAATTTTCAATCAATGTAATAAACATAATGTAAAAATACAGACATACGCATTAAGAACTCCATTGGCAAGGATAAAAAGGGGAAGAATTTTAATTAAATTGCAGAAAATGATATTGCAGAAAATTAGGGTTTGTGCACTTTTGGCATTAGTCATTTTTTGCACATTTATCTTGCACTTCGTATTTATTATAAATGCATATATGCAAATTTTCATATCGTTTTCTCTTTATTTCGATATTTATGCATTTATGTTACAATTTTGTTCTCAAAATCGTTCATAATTTGCAAATAGCTCCATTAAAACTGATTATCCCGCATATTGATGTTTGCCATAAATAACACATCTCGCGATTTTCCATAATTTTAGATTTGGTTTGGTTTATTTAGTTACGGCAAAGCCTCAGGGCTATCTGCCTAAGGGATGCTTTTGTGGAAGACTTTCTAAGGGAAACTGGCTCGTATATACGTTACACATAGGGAAAAGCACAAAAACGCTCATGTAGCCAGCCCGTTCTCGGGACTTTAACCTCGGGCCGAACTACCAGTGTTCAGCGACTTTACCACTCGGCGGCTGATGGACCTCCATCGTTTTAGAAATTCTATGTTCCGAGCTTCTATTGTTATTCATACAGAAAACTGGAAGCCCATGGAAGCTGGAATTATATTCAAAATACCGACAAAAAACAAACAAAAAAAAAAAAAAAATTGCTCGCTATCAGCCACAGGCTGATTAATCTTCTCTTACGAGCGAAAAAGACATTCGAAACTAAAATAAATATATACATAGATAAATAAAACCTTTTATAATAGAAAAAAAACTTTTGTTTAAAACTCGTGAAATTAATTAATAGGCAAAAAATAGAAAATTAACTTGTCATAGTTTAAGGGAAGCAAGAGATTAAACAATTTTCTTTACAGAATACTTCTTCAGTTTTATGTCACGAATAATAAAAGTGCGTCGTCCTTGATGAATGTATAAAATTGATGGCGTATACTTAAAGTAGGGCAATTTGATTATTAGGTTTTGTTATTTAGGCTCCCACGTTTTTATTATCCATCATATAAAACTCGGAATGATTTTTTAAGAGAATTATTTAATCTCTTGCTCCCATTCTACATAATAAATTATTTTTCTATTTTTAGTTTATTAATTAGGTTATGAGTTTTTAATATGTATTTTAATTTTCATTAATTAATTTTAATATCTATATTTTAATTTTCATTTTTACTTCCTTGTTCCTTTACTTTTTACAAGGACGTAAAGGAAGTTTTCAGGTATTTCAGGAAAATTTTCAGGTACCATATTTCAACGAAAATACCCATTTTGAATGCTCTCGAATCCACTTGAATGATGTTTTCACGTAACATTTGTACATACGGACAAAATAAAGGACTCTTTTTTTTCCTAAACGAATTGCAAAATAGATTTAAAATGCATTCAGAAGAGGTTTTTTTTTTTTTTTTTAAAATGCTTGTACTATCTAGCACAGCTCAAAAACGAGTAGTCATAGAACGTTTTAATTCTGTAGGAGTTTTTACAATTCATTCATTTGATTATGTTTGATTAAACCATTGCAGTCTAGGCGCAGGATTCTTAAACAGTTCTTCTTTTCTTTTATTTATGCTATAAATACTGTGCCTCAAGGTTAGCAACATTTTTGCACACAAAACAAACATTTTACATTTCACATTACTTCAAGTTTCAAGTTAATAGCATAGGTTTTTACAATAACTCTCACAGGTAGCGGCTTAATACTCAACTTGTATTGAATTAGCGCCCTCTATTTATACAGTTAGCAGTAACAAACTAAACAAACTACTCAACCTCACTTAATTTAGCAAAAGTTAACCCACTCTCAGGAATTCAAATGTGTATTTCTAGGTAAGTTAAATTAAAACTTGCTATTTACTAGCCTTTTTATTATTATTTTTCAGTAGGCAAGAGTATCTAAATTACTTTGGTTTTCTAAAAATTTCGGGTTTTTTCCTCAATGATTTTGACATTTAATTACTATTTTAATTTTTGTCATTTTACTTGCTAAATTTCTCAAAATTCCTACTAGTTTAAATTTATTTTTTTAGTAATTCACAACATTTAGTTTTGAATTTTACTATACCCTTGCCTATATGGATGACGAAACTCCCCTTAATAAGTCTGTCTCCTGCCTGCTCAACAATTATTCGCTTATGCAAATAAATTTGATCTAAAAAATTCATTAAATTTTTTTTAAATTAATTTTTTGGAATATTATATTTTTTCATGGTTTTAGATATGTGCATTTAATTTACATATGCTTTTAAAATTTAAATGATATTGTAAATTAATTCGCAGCAATAATTAAACTTTTATTTTTTATTTTTGAAATTAAAATTTCTTAATAAATTTCCACTCTCTCTCTCTCTCTCTGTGTATATATGCATATATATCCACTCTGTAACACGGCTCAATGAACTTGGTTTTTAAATTCTTATATGTTGTTAAATTGTGCATTTTTAAATTTAAAACTGATTGAAGTATGTTGTTCTCATGTTCCGGTTAAGTTTTTTAATGCCGTTAGTTAATCTACATGCAATAGTTTAAGTTAAGCTTAACGAGGCTGCTATTTGTTTACATTTGAAACTCTTCGGAGAATAGTGAATTAAGTCAGTTTATACACCAACTTCAGTGTCGCTTCGCCGAGTAGGACCGAAAGTTTCAATTTTGTGCTCCGAAAAATCTGTCTTCCTGCTCGCTGGCAGAATTGCTTTTTTTTCGTAGAAACTCTAATTTAAATTGTAAAATTATTTTCTTTTAACTGTTTTTAATTGTATTTGTTTTTGCATAGAAACTCTAATTTTAATTATAAAAATTGTCTCTTAACTGTTTTAACTGTATTTGGTGTTTTACGTTTTTCTGCATTTTACAATTTTTAATGAAGATGCTTTAAGTTTTTGTGCATTTTTTGCCTTTCCGCGAAGTGAGAGCGAAATTAACTGAATGAAAACTAATAACTGCATTAGTCTTCCCTTTTCCAAAGAAAAGATATTAACAGAAAATTGCGTTAAGAATGAGATAGATAAGTATGCGTGTTAATCACATTTAAAAATACAGAAAACAGTTTTTGGGAGTTAGTTAATACAATGCCTTTCACAAACATAGAAAGCAATATTGTAGTGAAGGTTTATAGACTTATAAAAGATAATTTATTGGAAGACAAAGCGCTTTAAGGTGTACTTCCAAAACAATTATTAGAGTACAATAATAAAGTAAAAAATAAATAAATAAAAAGGAATGCATAAAGCTACCGTCAAGGTCGTTGCAATGTTCGCCGATACTTCAGGGTCAGAAAAACCAGTCCAGGGGGAAAATATTCAAAGTATTGCTTCAGATAAAATGAAGACACAGTACGAAAAAATGAAAAACAAAATATATCCGGATTACTTTGCTCGAGTGAAATAAAAATGAAAAGTATAAAAAGAGATATATACGTGTATATAGAAGATTTTGAATATCAGACAGCAGTCCTAAAGAAGGGGAGAAAATTTCCATTTGAAGAAACAGGACTGGTGTCTGAGAAGCCTCAAATCTCTGCTAATCTGAGGTTGCTTATTGTCTATGTTTACAAACTGAATCTTCGAATCTCATCGTGATTAAAGCAGCTATAAAGTAATTTAACAATAAACGGAAAATTCTGCAGTTAATTTAGAACGATAAAACAGAGATCATAAAGAATAGATACAAATGATAATATTAACTCCAACAGTGCTCAGTTACGTTTGTATTTGGTTATAACAGTTTAAAACAGAAAGACTATTCTAGTACTTTCTAACTCTGGTATCATGTCACATACAGAATCACCGTCTGCCGTGTCATCCGTCTGCCAAGAATGCAGTCAGTCGAATGCACCCGAGGTAAGCATGCTTTAAAAAGTTAAAAGTTATTTAACACGTTGACAATGACGAGGCCGTTGCAAGAGAAAAATATTTTTGTGTTATGCAATTTTTTGTCTCCGTCAACGGCTCTGGAAATTCGTGATGCGTGCCATTCAAAATGGGTTCAATGGGTTCGCGTTTCACTTATGTCACGTGTGTTGTAGGTGTTCCATCACTGGCCTACTAGATATACAGATAGTTCAGTGGTAGGCAGTGGTTTTTTTCAAATGAAATATCTGAGTCTGAAGCCCAAATTTTAGATCGTTTTATAGCATTTTATACCATTACCGTTTGATACCGTCACTACTTTTTTTTTTTTTTTTTTTTTTTTTTTTTTTTTTTTTTTACACCAGCGGAGGGGGGTTCAACAACTGTCAGCAAATTTCAGTTTCAGAAAGTCTGACTAGAGAACTTTCGAAGAAGCATTTTGGATTGAGTTTAGCAGTTTAGAGTGTTAATCATTAGAAGTATCAATATTATTTTTGCTCATTATAACAGAATTTTGCTGCATACCATTTAGCCATATTGATGCTAGTTTCACATTGATTTAGCACGCTTCAGATTAAATTTGAATGACACGTTCATAGCCTTGTCAGTTAATTTTTATATCAAATATAGTTTTATATTCAAATATATATAAACTAATAGCAAATATATTTATATCGTCCAGATTATTGGACGTTTACTGTGTAAAAGAAAGTACGAAAATACCCACATACCAAAAAGTGCACAGTGAAAAAATTTCCTGCGCGCTGCAGAAAAGAAATTGCGGCCCGAAGGCCCTCATTGTTTTACATGGTTAAAGATCGACTTTAAGAAGCTTTCTGTGAAATTCATCTTCTAAACAGAAATTGTACTTTTTAATCTCAATGATATTGCTTTCTATAGAGACTTGTATACGTCCCATCTACAAAAGTACTTCCCAGGCTTTATTTTCGCAACCGCTGACCTTATATTTTCACTTAAAATGTTTTAAATGATAGAAATAGTTATGTTTTAGCATTTTTAAATTTAAAAAATAAATTTTATTAACGTTACGAACTTTAACTTTTCGTAAAAAATAAAACACAGTAAGAAATTTCAGATTGTGTGCTGCTCCAGAATACGACTTCAAGCTTTATAATAAAATATCTCAGTATTTGTCGTGTGGAGGTAGCACATTTTATTTCATATACAAGCGTTTCGTGCATATAATTACAGGGACCGAGGAAGCTATGCAAAATGTTACGACTTCCTAATTTTTATGAAATTGATTTTTTAAATTTAAAATAACAAAGCATGAATACATGTGCCATATGAAACATTTTTGTTATAGGAAATATATGTCTACGGCCAACTGTTGCGAAAATAAAGAATGCATGAAGATTTTAAAATATGTTTTGGGACACAGTGTATATGCCATAAGTAGGCTTGCTCAATGTAATATCAAACTGGGGGCTCCCGACGCATTTTTATGCGGACATACCGAACTGCGACTTCGTAATTTCACTGTCAATTTCTACCAACTTAACAGTCACATTTTCACTTTCGTCTGTCTCTACTTTAGGCACTTGAGAAGAATCAGGAACTTTATTTCCATGAATTATTTCTTCACCTTGCTCAGATGCTTTACTAGCAATTTCTTTTATGTCTTCATCTTTACAAACAGTATATCACTTTCTTTCATTTCCATTTCAGGCACTAGAGAATCAAAAGCTTCTTTCCCATCTTTCATTTCTTCATCTTTTTGTTCTTCAGATGTCACTTCTGTCATTTTCACATCTTCTATTTTGGCTCCACTTTCCTCCAACTTTTCCATCATTATCTCTATGGCAGAAAATTCTTGTTGCGGATCGATCATACTTCCCTTTGTTAGATAGCCGAGGCTAAGTACGGGTTGGCGAATTCTAGTATCCGGCAAATCAGCGGATCCAAACCCGTGGAGTGATGTGAAAATTTGAAAAGATCAATTGGCGGATCTTAACATTAAGCCAGTAATACAGCTGAAGGAAACATACAGGACAAAACCCAAGTGGCAGGACATTTTCATCTTCAGTTCTACAACTAAAAGATACTGGGCTCTCTGAGACTCCTTCCACTTCCGAAATGGAGTCATATATCGACTATGGGAAAGCGACGATGGAACTAATAAGAGATGGAAGGTGTTCCTTCCTCGAAATCGAATACCTGATGTGCTGAAGTACATACACAGCAGCCCAACAGGAGGGCATTTCGGGTAAATGAGGACACTCAACAAGGTTCGAGAGCTCTTCCTCTAGACTTCGGTAAAAATCAATATTGAGAAGTGGTGCCGATCTTGCAATGCTTGCGAAGTCAATAAAGGATCAAACGGACGTAGCAGAGAAGGCTGCAGCGATACAATGTAGAAACGCCTTTCGAACGAACTGCCCTTACCATACTTGGACCTTTACCGAGGAACATAGATGGCAACAAATACATCCTCGTTGTTATGGATATTTTATGAAGTGGCCAGAAACGGATGCAATTCCAGACCAAGAGCTGACAGGTCACGACAGCTGAAGTTCTGTTATAGAACTGGGTTTTTATTTTGGGACTTCCCTCCAGATTTATTGCGACCAAGGCAGGAACTTTCCTTCGGCTGTGTTCAAGGGTCTCTGCGACTATTGGAAATCAAGAAAAAGCAGACGACTCCGTTACATCCGGCAGACTCTTAGCTTCGAGAGACCTCCGAATGTATATTCCTCGCCTGAGGAGGGCGTGCAAAACCTCCAGGACCGCTTGGAAATGGTACACAGGTTTGCCCGGGAGCGGATCAGTATCTCGACGGACAGGATGAAGAAGAGCTACGCGGCAAGAGCCACCTAACATCAGTTTCAAGAAGACGACAAGGTGTGGCTATGGAATCCGAGTCGTCTTAATGGTATTTCTCCCAAACTGCAGTCGCATTGAGAGGTTCCCTCTCAACAGACTGAATGACGTCGTGGTACGGATCCGTAAGTTCCCCAGTTCCAAACCTAAGGCCGTCCATTTTGATAGATTAGCCCATACCATGGCTATAGTATCTAGTGGTCCTTATCTAGGCGTACTCATAATTCTTATAGAGTAATTTTCCTATATGATTCATGTATATAACTTGTATGTAGTTACTTGTAAAATAATGTAAATATTTGTTTCTTTTATCTTTGTTTAGTTTATTTGTTTGTTTTTACCTTTTTGATTGTTTTGTCTGTTTGTACTATATTTGGCTTCTGACCAAGGATTGTACTGCCTGGGACGTGCAGTCCTTGATAGGAAGCAGTATTGCGAAACTCCCAGCTGCGGTGAGATACCTTCCTCACAAAGTGGGGTTAGGGTTGCCAAAAAGTGACAGGGAAAGACAGGATTGCCAGATATGGCACGAAATCGCTCATCTTTTTATACGGCATAGACGGGCTGGTGAGAATATACTAGAACATAGTTTTAGCGGCTTTCTCAAGAATATTCTCGAAGGTAGGCTAAAGCTATACATACCCTACCTGTTCTGGGTAGTAGTAGTGTCTTGAGTTCAGAGATTAGCTTGAGAGTGATCAATCGAGTCTGGAGCTGTCTGTATTTTAGTGCTTTGCCTTGAAGCTGTCTTCACCTTTATAGCTTGAAGGCTGTGTTGCTGATTTCAATGTGTTTGTCGTAGTTTTTCGACGCGTGTTAACGCGTCTTTGGAACTGTCCTTTGTAATAGTGTTAAATTATGTTCTGATTCTTCATCAAGTGTCGTCTTCAATTATTCCAAATCCACGAACCCGTAGAACGCTACAATACTTCCTAGTAATTTGCTCTAAGATAACAAACTTTATGAAAATCGAAACGCCAGAAGATATTGTAACTGAAAAAAGTAGTAAGAAGAAACGAAGTTTATTATTATTTACATTCAAATATTATTCCTTTTCGTATGCGGCATAAAAAGGTCTAACAGATAAAAGAAAGAGGATGCGTTCCATTATTTATTCTCAATTTTTGTCCTTCTGTGAAAGTTTCCGAGTATTTCTTTTAAGTAAGTTAGAGGTTACTTCAACGTATTACAATTATTTGAATAAATGTCAGTTTTAAAATTTTATTATTCAGCTGTCAATACGTTTGAACTACAAGTTGTGACCAATAAAAATTTCTTGCAGATACAAACTTTTAGATTTCAGGCAGAAAAAAAGCATAAATTTTGGATTTTTTCTTTGCAGTATTGTTATATGTATGCTTTGAAAGCTGTGTAATAGAAAATTTTTAAATTTAGTTCATAAATTTGTTTTGTAAACATAAAAAATCCTTTTTCTTTCTTTTTATTTAATTTTTTTTAAATTACAGCTATTTCAGATCATGCATTTGGCCTGCGTACTATTTGAGTGTCAGACCACTGGGATAGCTAGCTTTTACGCTTCTGTATTCTGCTGTTGGACCCTCGCCAGAATGAGAAGAAACCCACAGATCCCTATAATCACAGCAAATGACAGATCTCATCTTCGGCAGCCAGAGAACAAAGAGATATATTCATAGGGAAATTTCTACTTTCAAGCTTAAGAAAACGTTTTCGCCGCTGAGAAAATAAGAAAGTTGGCAGCACGGTCTCTAAAGCTGGAATATTCCAGAAATAATACAAGTTCAAAGGATATGTGATAAAAAAGTATTGCAGTACTTTGTTAGGAAAAAGCCGTGTTTATTTTTAGTCTACAGAGAATAATGAAATAAATCTGAAAAATTCATATTTGATTAATCTCTTATTTTTCCAGCTGAATTTTATATTTATCTTTTTTATTCTAAGTTAAAAAAACATGCTAATTTTTTTCAAAAAATCGCATAAGTAAATCGCATAAGATTTTTTATTCTTAGTTTGCTGCAGCTGGGAGATAGCTTATTATCTCTCCTTAACACGGTGCCCTCTGGATAAGGCTTCTGGTTAACAAATAGGATGCATGATATGCGCTTTTAAAAAGGTGTGATAACATGAGAAACGAAAGTAAAAGCTGCAAAATGAATGAATATGATTAATGGTCATGTCATTCGAATACGGCAAAGCTCGCAACGGCTGTCTGCCTGAGGGAAGGATACCTTCGTAAAAGACTAATATAAATCTATTCATATCCACAAAAAAAATTACACATGCACAAAACCATGAAACCAATTATACCGGTAACTCGTTCGCCTGATACCAAACCTAAGTCAAACTCTCAGTATTCCGCGTTATTTTAACCCTTCAACCACTGGTGGGGTTCCAAAGTGATCAAAGGAATTTTCTTAAATACAAAAGAATTTTAAAAAAAAAATTAAAAAAGGGGGGGGTGAAATGAAAAGAAAATCTGCAGATTTGTTCTAGTTTTTTTAGGGAGGCCTCTAATAAATGTATTTATGGTTACGCGGGGAAGGGCAAAATCGAGAAATATTTTAATTAATCATTCACAAATAAACAAATAAGAACTTTAAATTATTCACTTCGGCTATGATACATACACATTTGGATATGTCAGTAAAGCTAATGCAAATTTTCGTGCTGATAGAAACTTTCAAAAGAATACAAAATTGCAAAAAGTAAAATGTCATGCTAACATCCACTTTTAAATTAATAAAAATTGAAACAGTAAAGGAGTAAAAACAGCTTTTTGCATATCAGCTCAATATTAACCTGTGAGGTATGATAATTACTACTTAAGAAAACACTCAGAAAGATTTTATATTAGAAAAGACGAAGAAAAAAAAATGTGTGTGTCTTGGACCCAGTCAGCTGATCAATGTTCACTTTACGGTGTATTAGGTGTGGCTACCCTTTTATTTTATTTTATTTTATTTTTATATTCGCTGTCTTATTTATATTCTGGATGTAAAATGAGGAAAGTATCAGCTCCGGATGGATACCTTCGAAAATGGTTTTTATTGTTTGAAGTTGTAATGAAAATTTTCTCCCCCTTTCTGCATGTTTACTTACAAAATTTATATGAATTTCTAAACAAAAAAAAAAAAAAAAAAAAAAAAAACACTAATACAGTATCTGAAAACACTGGAAAACATTAAATTATTTTCTTTAATAATTCTTTGTTTTGAAGATGTGGATGATTTGCAAAGCAATTTAGAACGGAATCCTAAGTTTTAAAACTTTCATTTGGAAAACATGTAAGATTTTTTTTATGTATTTAAAATTCTAATAATACAAACAATACGAAGTTATAAACCTTAATATTATGATCTAATTTTATGATTTGCGTTCTGTGAAATGTTTTGATATTAGTTTTAAGATATTATGAAATGAATGAGCTTTAGCTGCCTACTTTAGTTATTATTAATTGTTAATGTAGTTACTATTTTCAGCTTTAGTAATGATATCAGCATCTTGCTTAATAACATTTAAAGAGGATAAAAATGCGAAGAAAAAAGATGTGTGTGGCACAGACGCATTCAGCTGATCAATGTTTACATTTACATATAATGTTTTCGAAAATGAGAGCCATTAAAATCAATCTCGGAGAAGTCATTAGGCCGTGAAAAAAAAATTTTACTTTTCTCAATACACTCGGTAAGTTAACACGTCAGTATTAACACACCAGAAAAATTATTCGAGACAGATTATTAGCAGTTTGAGAACAAGGGTTGATCGTTGGACAGGACATAGGTATGTTGACTGGCCATTTTAGTATAAAGCAATATTCCCCATTTGTTCGAGAATCGATGGCTTACTAGTAGTTATAATAATATTTAACGTCGAAATAGATTAACCTATCCAAAAAATAAACCTCTATAATCATCACATATTATACAGAGCTTGGGATACACACAGATCTACATAAGGATCCACTCCAGTTTCATGGATTCATATAGAAGTACATAAGAGTACATAAGTACAAATTGCGTATACGAGCAATCGGACACATTAACTAACTGCATATGTTCTATTTTGTTTAGGGTTAATAAGATTTCTTGAGAGAAATGCATTAAGATGAAATGTTCACTATTAATATTTATGTATATTAAATTTCTTATACAGTTCAAATATTACATTATTTTTAATTCGCTGGGGGAAAGGCTTAAAGCAGGTGTAACTCTGGTTTCACTTTTAACTTTATAATGAGACAACACTGTAAACAGCCATAGTTGATAAACTAATAGTAATTAATAAAAGCGGGAAAAGCGCAGAAATCAAAATGTCAAAGGAATTAGAAAAAATGGAAAGAACTGCCAGGCATGATGCATTTTTAAAACTTTATTTCTTACTTTTATTTTATTTATTTATTCCAGTTTCATAATATGTCTCTCCCACCTTATCTTTTCTTAACAGTTTCCCCTTCTTTCCGTATTTTTTAAAAAGCTAGACAAGTCTTTTAAGGGACATTTAATAAGGTTACTTCCCTGCCTTACACAGCGCACTAAGTTCCCTACTTTAAAAGTTCCTCATTATGTCACGGTTGCGGATATGAGGTAACAGTTACCTTAAACCGCAAACAAATCCTTTATTTATCAACAAATGAAGATTTTTCCGGAGATTTTCGAAACTGCTGAAAATGAAAACTACTGATTTTGGGAATCTCAAAAATTCCGTCTTGAATCTGTATAGCTAGCTATAAAAAAGCTATGAAAGTCCAAGTGACATGAGGGTTGATAAGTCTACCTTATCAAGCCGCATGTCAAACAATTTTGAGTTTTTGAGCAATTCATGTAGCCTCTGGGTAACAGTGGGTAAACAGATCTCTGATAAATTGAAATTTTTTTGGAAAAATATAGTTTTATGAAACCCAAATGATTATCTTACATGAGTATTATATAATTTATATACAACAATTTCAAATTGCGTATACGAGCAATCGGACACATTAATTAACTGCATATGTTCTATTTTGTTTAGGGTTAATAAGATTTCTTGAGAGAAATGCATTAAGATGAAATGTTCACTATTAATATTTATGTATATTAAATTTCTTATACAGTTCAAATATTACATTATTTTTAATTCGCTGGGGGAAAGGCTTAAAGCAGATGTAACTCTGGTTTCACTTTTAACTTTATAATGAGACAACACTGTAAACAGCCATAGTTGATAAACTAATAGTAATTAATAAAAGCGGGAAAAGCGCAGAAATCAAAATGTCAAAGGAATTAGAAAAAAATGGAAAGAACTGCCAGGCATGATGCATTTTTAAAACTTTATTCTAAACTTTATGATATGCCTGAAATTTAAAGCATGTTAATATTATCGGATACAAATTCCTAAACAATGATAGAAGCAAGGGTCGTATATTCAATGATAATAGCAACTGAAGTCGAACGAAAATTTCTACAACAGTTTGAAAGAGGCTATAGTAACTAAATTAGTTCTGAAAGACAAAAATAGGTGGCAGCACAGGTAAAGTGAAAAGGTTAAGAAGGTAATAACGGACTCCGTCTTTCATTACTAATGGTGCCGGCAACCTTGTGCAAATCACCCAGGAATACAAGGAGCATTTACAGCGGTGTTTCTACACCAAAGGTACCAGCATCTTTGTATCGGGACATTAATAACTAGGATTAATTTGCTGCTTTGGCTAATATAATAAGCAAATACTTACATAATGGTGCTAGCATCTCTATTTTAGACTTATCGTCTAAAGGTTCGCTGACTTGCAAATTGGTGACAGCATTCCCTGCCGACTTAACGTATGAGTACATTACGGGAGTTCCAAGTCTGTAAGGGATATTACAATTACTGTTGTTAATATTTAGATAAATTTATTATTATTATGGAGAGAGTTGGCAAAGGTGAATGCCTCAGAACATCATAAAAGTCCAAATTCCGTTAAGTCGACTTTACCAAGCCATATATCTACCAATTTTGAGTTTTTGCGCAATTGAGGTAGCCTCTGAGTAACAATGCGGAAGCAGATCTTTGGCAAAATTAAGCAAAATGAAGCCCAAAACTGATAATATATATTTCCCAAAAAGCAATGCAAAATCAAATTAAAATATATATTCTCAACTTGCATAAAGAATATCAAATCTGAATAGCATTGAATGTTGTTTCCAATCCTCCTGAAAACTTGGAGCCAGAGCAGGTCCATGAATTTTATTGGAGCGAAGAGTCAAAGAATTCAAAATTGGGTCGAACTACTGCTAATTTATTTTTTTAAAATAAATTTTATTCCTTTTCCAAACATATCTTACCCACCAGCGGACAAGCGGTAAAACCGCTGCACACTAATAGTTAGATCCGGGTTCGAATCCCGCCGAACGTGATAATTATAGGCAGTTTACGTGGTTTTCTCCATGTGTAATCTGGATACAAGCTACTCTCTTTTAAAACATTCCTCCACGAAGACGTCCATCCCCTTAGGCAGATAGCCTTCATGTGCTCTGCCGTAGCCAAATAATTCAAATCCGAACATATCTAGTACACGTAGATCAATAACAGCTACACTTCTTCACACAGCATAAGTTGTCAGGCGAATTATAGCTCAGGGGTACAGTGCTTGGTTCGCATCTGAAAAAATGGGAATTCGAAATCCTATAGACCCAATTTTAATGTTTTGTTAATGTTAATTTTAATGTGCACCCATAAGTTTTCTTACCTTACGCAGTTGCATTCCTAATTTCAGCTTACGACATTTCAAATTAAAATTCTCTGAGAAAAGAAATGGGTAGTCTGTATTTCATAATAAGTTAAAATTAAAAACCTTGAAGGATGAGAATAAATTAGCTTATATTTCAATGCTTTTAATAAAATGATATTACATAACGAACATGCATC